TAAGCCTCTAATACTCCAAATAGGATGCATCCCAGGGCAGCTCCTAGGCCCAGCTATGTGGACTCTTCACCAGTCCCAGGTCCAGTTCTGATCACAGGAAGCCAGGAGGTTACACCAGGAGGAATTAGGTTGTGCAAGGGGAGGTGGCAGATTAGATTGGGGAATGCTCAGGAGCCCAAGCCTGAGGTGCCACCAGCTTCCTTCTTGTCTCTCATTCTCCCTGCATAGAATTCTGGAAGGTAGGCCCTAAAAAGTCATTTCCTTCTGGTTTTGGCTTTTTATTCTTGCTCATTTTTTAATTTTTATTTCTGCCTTTTCTACTTAAAAGGAAAATAAGCTAGCCTATGGGCAACTGTTTATTTATCTTCAGATTTTCTGAGTTCTAAAATATTTTGTTTTAATATTTCCATAGTTCTTCTTTCTTTGTATGTGTGTGTGTGTATGTGTGCGTCTTCCATGTCTACCTTTTTCAGGTAGAAGCTTGATTGTTCTATTCAGGTCCACACTTTCATTTTTAGTTCAGTATTAAATGCTATGAATTTTCCTCTTTGTGCAACATCAGCTGTTCCACAGAGTTTGATATATAGGGTGTCTATTGGTAGTATTCTCTAAATTGTGAAGTTTGGGTTTTGTGATTTTCTAATTCAAGGTTTACTCAGGGGAATTTTGAGACTTCCAGAGTTGGTTTTACTTTGATTTCTGTTACTCATTTCTAAATTTACTGAACCATGAATATAGAAAATCACCTCCATTAGAGAAGGCACATATGAGGAATGGTTTAAAGTCAATGTTGAACACTTGGTTAATATTTTCTATTACCTTGGGAAGATACTTCAAATCCAGGGGTGTTTTAACTCTCTTAATGGAACCATCTGCCGAGCTAGCACAGTTTTATGTGTGATTCTGTTGTAATGGCCAGTGATGGCTTTTTCCCTCGTTTGTGCATTTGTTCCACAAACACATGTAGAGTATTGAGCACCCCCTCATGCCAGACCCTTCACTGGACACTGGGGGAGCATGAGTTTTGAGGCCCAGTGGTTAAGGATGGACACTTGCTCCCACATGGACTGCAAGACAAAGGCCTGGCAGGTAGAGGGAATGGCAAACACAGAGGATGAAGTGATTATTGCCTTGAGGACCACATAAGAAGTTCAACTAGAGGAAAAAGGAACACTGGTCAGCATTGAAGGTGTGTGAGTCCCTCGTGGTTTCTGTGCCAACTCCCCTTCTCTCTCCAGGCATGTCCTTCCCTGGTCACCTGAGGCAGGCTTGGTTCTGGGAAGGACTCTGCTGAGTAGCTCCATAGCTATGAGAGTCCAGCCGGCCTGGTGGCTGAGGAGGGGGACACTGTGATAGCCTGGAGCCCTGTGCAGGAACTTGGCCCTGTTCCAGATCTGTGCTGTTGGTGAGTTCAGGAGACACTGCAGAGTTTCATGGAAGGAGACCATAAGATTGGGTCTCACTCTCTGGATGCCGATGAGCATGGTGGATTCACCTAGAAACCTCTTGTGTTTCTTGATTTTTTCAGCAGATAAAAGAAAGATTTTCTACACAGAGAGGACACACCATTAGCAGCTGGGTGCTAGTTGTGCTAAAATGTGAAGTTCAGGTCAAGTTTCATCTTGTGATAGAAAAAGCCCGGAAGTACCCAATGCCCTGAATACCTCCACCTCTGAGACTGGGTCCCCATACACTTTGCAGTATATCAGCTGGAAAAAGAACCTCAGGGCTCAGATCAAAAAAGGCAAATGTCTGATACCTCAAAAAAGATTCAAGTTCTGAAAGAAGAAACAAATCCATCAGCCTCCAAGTTGGTAAAATTCTTACAGGCAGCTGAAAGAAAAACTCAGGGTCTCCATAATGGTCTGTAGGGCTTGTATGATAACACTGAGTCCCTGCAGGATTGCTCAATAAAGACATAAAGACAAAAGAACCAGTAGGTTCCCTTAGAGAAGAGAACACAGGTGATAACCTGGAGGTGGGAGCCATGTGTACGACCAGGCGTGGGAGTGCTCTGTCTCCCACAAGGAAACCAAGTGATGTAGCAGAGTCAAGTGCACATCTAAACTTCCAGGATGGAGAGGAAAATCAGGATGAAGGAGAGGATATAGACAGATAGAAAAAGCCTTGATCCAAAGTGCAGATCAGAATCTTCAGAGTAAATGGAGCAATTAAACTTTGTCAAGTGAAAGAAATGGAGCTTCTTGGAAAACTATCTGTCAAGGCAGGTTATAACTTGGGGCAAAAGGAGGAGCACCCAGAAGCAAGTGATAAGATGAACCAATCCTCCGATGAAGAGCCCAGATCTACAGAAAGCGATTAAAGCAACTTTGAAGAAAAGCTGGGGAGAAGCATTTCTCCTTCGCAAAGACAGATTCTGTTCTTGAGCTAAAGGCTCTTGATCGTGGTTTCAGCGCTCAGGAGCCGAAAGGGAACCTCAAAGTCCCTGGAGAGCAGGTTGCAGATCTGAGACAATTCTAGCTTCTAGAGGTGGATCCTTGTGCATCTGATCATCCAGGCAGAACATTAGCTCCCTGATTGCTGGGCGTGGAGTGCTGCTCTGCTGAGACAGGAAGGCATTGCTCCCCTCCCTGCAGAACCCCTCTCAGTTGACACAGTTTCCTCCTTTAGGCTTCCCTCTTCAAGCGCCCTCTCCATTCATCGCAAATGCTGTGTTTCCTGGATACAATGAGGGAGCTCATGGCAACTGACTCCCCACCCTCCAAGAAGGCTGGGTGGACCACTGGATCCCACAAAGCAGATTCCCCCCTCACCCCTCCTTAGGGGCGGGTTGTCCCCTGGAAACCCTCATTTAAAAATAGAAGTGAAGGTGCGTTGGTGGTATAGTGGTGAGCATAGCTGCCTTCCAAAAATAGAAGTGAGTTAGCTCCCCCCCAGGGTCACCCAGCCTCCACATACCCAGCCTCCACCCAGCCCAAATCACAAACACCAAGATGGCTGTAGGGCCCTCTGTTTTCCAGAATATTTTTCACTTATCTACATTTATTTTTAGAAAACATTTTAGATAACAGCGAAATTTTATCCACTTGCATATTATAAATTTCAGGATCATTTTAGAAAGTAGAAATCATTTAAGTTGTTCCCATTATATTATGCTTTCTAGAAAAATAGAAGTAGTCAATTTTCACTTAATGATTCATTCCACGACTCCCTAAAAATAAATAGCATTAGAATCAGCTCCAGAATGGGAGGCATTTGAAATAACAACTACCATATCCCTCCATAAATGTTTCCATGTTCCACAGTGAGAAAAATTGGAAGTTATTCGTTGCTCTCAATAAATCATAATCTCTTAAAAAAAGGTTAGATCCTGACCTGTCCCCCAAACATTTCTTCCTGTAACTGTGACCCACTGGAAGCCATCCCAAGGAAGACATCCCAGCCAAAAGATTGCCCCACAGTCACCTAATCCTTACCTTTCCCCTCTTTTGACTGGCTGTCTCCATCAATAAAAATGTATTTATATTTATGCATAAATTATACATGTGGACTTCTGTGCTAATATATTCAGGACAAAGCAAACACAAAAATACTTTTCAAAAGGGTGCCGTGAAAATTTAAAAAAAAAAAAAGTGTTCTTAATGTATTTAAATTTAGTCACTAATTATACCAAGTGTTTTGCTCTCATTAAAATACTACCCATGATGTTATTTTTAGTGCGATGTGTAAAATTTACATCATTATTTTGAAATGTTGGTATTATGTCTTGAGATCCATCGATTCAAAGATCTCAAGTGGCAAGCTTTTAACACATCAACCCAGATGTTCACTTTCATGCTTGCTTTTAATCATCATCAGAACTGAGAAATGTAACAAGGGCACAGTGGACACACCAAGATAAGCAAGAGGAAAGAAGTTCATATTTTTAAAGCCTAGAGGATTTGGGGCTTTTACAACTGCTTCTTATCTGATCCAATTAGCGCTTTCATTGTTTTTAGCTCCCCATGACACTGATGGATGGAGAGATTGTCTCAGGCACAAAGAACGCTTGAGTCTGTTGTTTTCCTTGCTGTTTTCTTGCCCTTGCAGAAACACAATTAGCTTCAACTCACACACTTCATGGTAGGAATCTTTAAGGCACTCATCCATTTCATGAGGGTTAGTTTGGTTCAAACTAATAATACATTTTCACAGGGCCTGGCTACACGACAAAACACTGCAGTATGCTGAAAGCTCACCAACCATTAAGGTGATCACTGCCAATGGTTTTGTATGATGACCCTCCCCTGCCCTCGGTACCCAACGGGGGACATGAGTGCCTGCCATAGGGCACCCACCACTATCCATTTTGAAGTTTTTAAAGATAAATTATCAAGAGAAGATCAAAGATAACTCACTTTGGACCTCAATGGTTTGTGGGGGTACCCATTATAGAGACCAACCTATTTGTTTTCCAGATGCAGAAAGATGAGTTGCAGAGAAGTCATGATTTGCTCTCGGTCACACAAACATGACAGGGTCAGAGCCCACTGTACAAATACCCAGAGCCCCCTCCACACCACAGTGATAGCCCAGACTTCTGCTGCAGCCACCTTCTCCATTCCTGCCATTTAAGACCCTAAGTGTCTCCAAAATGAAGGCAAGTTTCATGCATTAGGGCAAATGGGTGGGTGAGAGCAAGTTTCTAGCAACAAGGGTGCCCAGAGACATGGTTTGGGGTTACCATCAGATTAGTGTTAGGTCCCTATCTTTGCAACACAGTTTTCTGCTAACAAGTCAATCAGAAAATCAGAAAAGACAAGGGAACATAAGCCAAGAAAGGGTGAATATAAGGTTTGAGAGATATATAGGGGAACCAAAATAAGGGGTCAGGAAAAAATA